GGTTTCCGGTTGGACGAGTTGGAAATATGATGGAGCTGAATTGAGGGCGGCAAGGTGGATGATGAATTCAAGGTACGTGGCCAGCCTGGCGTTGTCATTGTAGCAGACTGACGCAAAGGTCTCTTCATCCGGGGTATCAATACACAGTGTGCTTCTCTCCACAATGGCATTTTCCAAGTTCTGTGTAACAGCCAAGTACTGCAGTAGAAATCCAGAAGACGGCTGCGTCACCTTCACCTACTATTTGCGATTAGCGCGCAGACTAGTCAATACATCTCACTTCTTGTTCCAAAGCTCCTTCCTTTCTACACTTACCTCGCAGCCACCACACCCCACCAGCTACCCGCACACAAGCGACAGCTCCAGCATGTCAGTCTCCACAATGCAGACAGAAACGGAGACCAGAATCGCTCACCAAAATCATCGCTCGAATAAGATGTGGGCCAGTGTTGACCTCAGGTGAAGCCACCACGACTGACAGACATAGCTTTGAGCGCAATGCGACGACCTCACCTCTCTTCCTTCTCCCCGCCGAACTTCGCAACATAATCTACGTCCTCGCCATGAGCCACGGAGAAATAATAATGGACTTCAACGACGCCGTTTATGGATCCAAGAAAGGAAACCTGGACCGGTGGCCCTCCCAAGCAGCACCTCTGCTCTTCGTTTGCCGCCAGATTTACGCGGAAGTCGCGTTGCTACCCTACAAGCTCAACAGGTTCAAGGTCAGCGGCAATCTCTGCTGATCTTTACTTCATGCTCGACCGGCGGAGTGAGAAGCAGATTGCGCTGATGAAGGAGGTGTGGTGGATGTACGCTGATGAGCAGGACGGCGAGTGGTGCCGCTCTGGTCTCGATTGGCTGAGGTTTCTATGCAAGTATGATTACGACGAGGAACTGCGTATGCGTATGCGTGATGATGAGAGTGAGGATGAGAGCGAGGGTGAGGATGACGATGAACACGATGAGAAGTAGGGTGTATGTCCGTCGTCGCCTCTGCGATGGCCGGCCGTGGCTTCCTCAATTTATCCTAATGATGGGGATCGCCTGCCCCAAGAGTCGTTTCTTACGAATCCGTTACGTAGCAAGGTTAGAGATCTCCGATACAGTTGGAGTTGTTCATCGTGACCTCCAAATGTCCCAAGCATCTACGCAGTGCGTTACTTATACTTCCTTGATCAAGACAAGGCAACAATGCATCGCCCTCACCAGCCTGAACAACGTCTCCAATACCTGTTGTTGCTGTGAAGAGACAATTATGCCCGCCTGCTGCCTTGACGTTGAGCCTGAGGCGTCTTCTCGGCCCTACTATTGCTCAAATTCTCCATGTGGCTGAGGCGAAGCTGCGCGATGGCGCAAGGCAAAAGAAGGGTCCCCTTCCGGCACCCGGAACTTCGCCAATCTTCGGCGATAAGAGCCTTGCCTGATCGCCCCCGCGCTGATTGGCTTGGCCAAAAGCGGTCATAGCGTACCTTCATCGAAGCTTCCCAAGCAATGCGCAATGGCAAACGCATGTTCTCACGCCATGTACAGACATTGGGATAGTGAATATTGGATTTCGCAGTGACGTTCGATAGAGTGGAGCCTGCTGCGTAGTTTGGGCAGGCAGACGAGCGGATTCAGGCAATCTTGGGCTGGCGAGGCAGCGTGGAAGGGCATGGAATTGTTTGGAATCTTCTCTCGCTCGGCGCAGCCGGTGCATTTGCAACATCCCGGTTACTACTTTTAAGTCGACAAGCGTTCGCCCTCCCACGCACCCCAATATACACTGTGAACACGCACCTTGCCTCCGAGTCAGATACCCGTTTCTTCACTTTTCGACCGCGAAGACTCCCGCGGCGACTCTCGGTAAGCGCCTTTTCGCTCATTGTGTCAGCACTTCGACGAGTTACCCGCGCCTTCTTTCACCTGCAAGGCTGAGCTGCAACCGGGCGACTACTGCGACTTGTGGCCCACCAAGACTTGACGCTGACTTGATTTAAGATCTTCCCGACACCGCGACTCGCGCTTTCCACAGATCACCCAGAGACCTTTCTCTATTGCCCCTCAACCCGACTTTTACGACCCCGCTAGCCCCTCGTCCACGTTTCGACACCACAACCACGAACCGCGACCATGGTTAAAGACACAAAGTTCTACGATATCCTGGGGGTAAGCACAATCATCTCCACGAACAACTAAGGCGAGAAGACTAACAACCCACAGGTAGCGCCAGACTGCGCCGAGTCACAACTAAAGACGGCGTACAAGAAGGGAGCGCTCAAGTGGCATCCCGATAAGAACGCCCACAACCCCGAGGCCGCCGACAAGTTCAAGGACCTCTCCCACGCATACGAAGTTCTCTCAGACCCCCAGAAGCGCCAAATATACGACCAATATGGCGAGGAAGGACTCGAGCAAGGCGGCATGGGCGGCGGTGGCGGCATGGCAGCCGAGGACCTATTCGCACAGTTCTTCGGCGGCGGCGGCGGTCCCTTCGGCGGCATGTTTGGCGGCGGCATGGGCGGCGGACGCGAACAAGGACCCAAGAAGGCGCGCACAATCTCGCACGTCCACAAGGTCTCGCTCGAAGACGTCTACCGCGGCAAGGTCTCCAAGCTCGCGCTCCAGAAATCCGTCATCTGCCCCAAGTGCCACGGCGCGGGTGGCAAAGACGGCGCCGTCAAGAAGTGCGCTGGCTGCGACGGCCGCGGCATGAAGCACATGATGCGCCAGATGGGCCCCATGATCCAGCGCTTCCAAACCGTGTGCCCAGACTGCCAGGGCGAAGGCGAAATCATCCGCGACAAGGACCGCTGCAAGCAGTGCAACGGCAAGAAGACGATAATCGAGCGCAAGGTCCTCCACGTCCACGTCGACCGCGGCGTCAAGTCGGGCCACAAGATCGAGTTCCGAGGCGAGGGCGACCAGCTCCCCGGCGTAGAACCCGGCGACGTAGTGTTTGAAATCGAGCAGAAACCACACGCGCGCTTCCAACGCAAAGACGACGACCTCTTCTACCACGCCGAAATCGACCTCCTGACCGCGCTGGCCGGCGGCCAGATCCACATCGAGCACCTCGACGAGCGCTGGTTAACCGTCGACATCATCCCCGGCGAGTGCATCTCCCCCGGCGAAGTCAAGGTCATCCGCGGCCAGGGCATGCCGTCGTACCGCCACCACGACTTCGGCAACTTGTACATCCAGTTCGACGTCAAGTTCCCGGAGCGCCTCGGTAACAACGAGGACGGCGGGCCCATGTCCCCCGAACAGATTCGCGCGCTGGAGTCTGTGCTGCCGCCCCGCAAGGTACCGGAGTCTATGCCGCCGGCTGATGCCATGACGGAGGACTTTACGCTCGAGGATGTTGATGCGGGCGGTGAGGGCCAGCGCGCGAGGGGTATGGGCGGTATGGAGGATGATGAGGATGATATGCATCCGGGGGCTGAGCGCGTGCAGTGTGCGTCTCAGTAAGAGGTGTTTAGCTTCTGTGCTGGAGTGGATGATGGAGTTAGCATGATTTTACGATGCATGAATGCAAAGGAACGAAGTATGAGGGTGTAGAGCAAGGAGATGGGGGCGTGAGAGGAGTTTCTTTCTGCATTTCATGGAGGTTTTCGACACTGTTAGCTTCGTGATGAAGCTTCTGCGATACCAAAGAGAGTTTATTTTCCTTCTTTTACTTTCTGTAAGCAAAGGCATCATTATAGCTTTGTTGCTTGTTGCCGGCGTTCTCTTAGACAGGCGAGCTGCCCGGGCAATGGCATGGTTTTGGTAAAGTGTGGGGTTGATGGTGAGTGGATTGAGATGAGATGATAATGCCATGGTTCTGTAATGCTTTTTTATGATGAGTGCAACTACATGATTGATGTGATGTCTTGTCGTATGATATTGGTCATTGTGACATGTGGTGATGAGTAAATAGCTCCTAGGGGGTTTGATTACTAGTAAGGCCGAGAAGACGCCTCAGGCACAACATCAAGGCAGCAGTAGTACATACACTGCACTCAACAAGCGGGAAAGCAGAGCCTGGGATCAGATGTCCATCAGTAGCTTATAATGACATCAGAAATCCCGTGAAGCGCTCTCATCGCCAGTGTGCATCATCGTGAACCAATTATCGTCTACTGTTCTTTCTCTCCTGCTCTACACAACTCACTTCTGACTGTACTACTCATCTTCTCTTTCTCTCATGCTTTCAACCCCCCTTCTCAACACTTTACCGTCCCCGTCCCCCAAAAACCCCCCATCCCCCAAGTACCTCCCTCTCCCCCCAAAACAACCAACTCCCCTCCTCCCCCTCCCCATACTTACCCAGCCCTTCTCTCCTCCCCCTCTCCCCCAACTCCCCCCACCTCATCAAAATATTCCCATCAAGCACGCCCCTCGCACCAGTCCCCGCATCCCACCCGCCATCACCCGTCGCCTCGCTGCCCATTCGAAACGCGCGCGGATTCAAACTGCACGGCGAGTCGAGCGTGTTTGCTAGGTAGGCAGTGAGATTGGATAAGCGGCGGTAGGAATCTTCTGTTAGGGGGGTGAGGAGGGCGAGCGTGCCGGATTGTGTTGTGTGGAGGATTTGGTGGAGGGGGGGTTGGGTGGATGGGGGGGAGGGGGTTGTGGTGTCCATGTCGTCTTCGTCGGTGGCGGGGTTGGCGTTGGATGTGAAAGCGTCGGTTGTTGAAGGGAGGGATAGGTGGGATTGGACGAGGTGGAGGGAGGTGGGGAAGTGGCCGGTGTGGAAGGTGGATTTGTGAAGGAGGCGGGAGCCGGCTTCGGATTTGGGGTCTGTAGGATGGACGTGTTAGTTGACTGTTTGGATGTGTAAGTGTAGGAGTGAGGATGAGGGACCTACTGTCAGGATCGAATTGCAGGACTTGCAGATTCATATCTGCGTCTGCGACAATGAGGTGGAGTTGTTGGTCAAAAGGCAGGAAATCCACTGCAATGGTTTCTAGATTATGCTTTGAGCGGGAGAAGAGAGACATCTTGTAGGGCTCTTCCTGTTTTCGCTGTTAGCATCATATCTCATAGGGCCGAGTTACTGTAATCAGAAAACTTACTGTATACCCTGTGAACCAAACACCCCGGTACGCATCAGCCATAGCCAGCATACCCGTTCCAGGCAGGTTCTTCAAGTCGCTGACGTAGCATTGCATGTCCATAAACGCAACGGGAAGCAAGGTGCCGTCTTCCTTGAGACCACGCACCATGCACTTCTGTCCCTGGGCCATGATCATGAAGCCTTGGGTGCCCAGTCCAGAGATGGCGGATACCGCGCCTTTGACTTCATCCTTGACGATGAGCTTGAGGCGCTTATTGGTCTCCGGGCGATCCGGCTCCGGTACCACGGTGATGACTTCGAAGATACGGATGCAACCCTTAGTTGCGAGATCTTCGCCGTGCACGATCGAAGTACCGACTGCGATGAGGTCTTTACGTTGATGCGTCACTTCGCTGACTTCGAGGTTGAGTGTTTCAATGCATAGAATGACTTCTTGGGGATCCAGAACATGTGTGTCGATGATGGTCCATGACTTCTCGTCTAGTAGTTTCAGGACGCCGCGCTCAATCTTGGGCTTGAAGCTCATGTCTTCCTTGGGCAGTTCGTAGTGGTAGGTCTCACTGGGATCCAGTTGGTACTCTTCGAACTGGCCCGTTCCAACAACGTATAACCCTGCCGGGTGGTAGGCGAGGGCATGCACCTCCGCATCCATTGGCATGCGTCGTGTTGCCCATCCGAGGTGACCGTAATGTGTTTGAGGCGGAAGTTGGGAGATGCGCAATGTGTCTGTGGAATCAAGGTAGGCGAATCCGCGCTGGCAGTTTGATGTGTGGAACGATGTAAGACCCTTGACGGGCTTACCACTCAGGCCAATCACGCGTGGTGCGCTTGATGACTCTTTGAAGATGAAGGCCGGAGTTGTGCCTCGCTGGAAGACGGTACTGTAGCCGCAGATATCGCTCACCGCTAGCAGGGTGCTTTCGAACCCTTGGTCCTCAGAACCTGCATCTTCGATGTATCTTGGTATGTGCTGTTGCGACAGCTTAACCCATCGCAGGTTTTGAGTCCAGAGTTCCGAAGCAGACCGTGACGGAGAGTGGAAGGACTTGTAGATGACGAGGTTATCGCTGGAAGTGCGGATCTAGAATATCGTCAGTCGCTAGGGTGATGTGAGTCTGAAGTAGTTCTTACGATCAGATGAGGTGACTTTGTAGTCGCATCTCCCAAGTCCGCGGCTAGGATCTCGGTGATGGTAGCTTTGATCGCACTCCGCTTAGGAACATAATCCATTGCCAAGACCGGCGGTAAGAAGCTCAACGCCTCAGCAACGTAACACGGCTTTTCCATGTCGGACATGGCAAACACGCGAAGACCACCTTCTGGTGACAGGAGAAAGGCAAAGATTTCCGTGAAGCTGGATGACTTGAACAGACTGGCCGAAAGCCATGTTGTTCCCGTCAGCCCAGTCGCTTCAACATCTTCTAGCTCTCCATCACCGGTAGCCTTGAAGATCTTGACACTAGAGTCCTCGCGCAGGATGAGTAGGTATGGGTCTGCGAAACTGGCGTTGATGACGTTGATCTCGTTTCCGTTCTCTTCGTCTTCCATGGGTAGGATTTGGTCCATATTAAGTTCTATTTGACGAAGTTAGTCTGAGAAGGCGGATAATGTAGATGATCTGGCCTACCCGAATCGTACGTCCTGACCTCCGTCCGCATGACCTGGACAACCTTTGTGCCAGCGGCCAACACACCCACAAAAAGAGTCGAGCCTTCTTCACGCTCGAAATCGCCTTTGTCGGTTTCAGTCAGCTCGTTGCCGTTGACCTCGTATACCACAGTAGTCTCAGTGCCGTCGTCAATGGTTTTGGAGACAACCAGGTACTGGTCATAGTCAACATCAGTAGCCATGTTGGCTTCAGTGTCTTCGCCAAACGCTGCAGTGACATCTCCCGGGGCTTGCTTTCGAGCATGTACAGCCCAGACGCCATGCGCTGAAGGAAGCTCTTTGGTCGCGATACTGACAGGGTGAAGTTCGCGGTCAAGAGCGGTGATGGCTCCAGCCGACCCTCTACCCGTAGACAGCATGATCTCGCCCTTGTTCAAGGAATCGGTAACCTTGCCAGGATGGAGGACGGCGGTCTTGATTGGTGCTATACTCGGCAAGACGTCGTGTATTCTGAAAGTGTACGTTCCTGGCGCTGTGGGCTCGGACACAGCTGCCGTAATCTTCTGAACGGCTGGAGCTGTATCGTTGTAGAGATCGTCCTCCATATCATCCATGTCCCCCTCGTCAGACATGTCCTCGTCGCCATCCGAATCGGCATTCGTTTGCTTGCGTCGCAGTTGAGTGGATGAACCAGTCCAGCCTAGCATTACTGATTCGCCATCCTCGCTTCCAACGAACAGCCGTCCTCTGCCGAGATTACTCGTACATGAAGCGGCAGCTTTGAGAATTTGACCGCCATGGTCTTCCGAGACAGTCTGAATAGTCATTCCGGATACAGTCCGACCGTCGAGGGTGAAGGTAAGGATTAGGATGCGCCCGCTGTTGAGCACAATCATCACATCGCCCGTGTCCTGCGACAACAGCTCGACTTGGCATCCTTCCAATTGGAGGGCCAGATCTGACTGGTCGCTGAGCGGGAATGATGTGCAGGCCTTGGCAAACTCATTCACAGCCACACCATTCGTCTTTCCTCCCTGGTCGACGTGTATGATCTCGTTTCCTCCTACCAACAGAGCACCGCCAATGGGAGAGGGTAGCGGTACTACTCTCGTGATGTCGTAGGGCAGTCCGGTGACTGAGAGCAGCGTAGTGGAGGCCTTTTGTTCGAGATCGAGGGTGAAGACGGAGTAGGTGAGGATGTCTTTGCGGTGGGCGAGTAATGACGGGGCGGTGGCTCGCGAGGCAGCGACTATGCCAAAGGTAGGTTCGCGGTACTCGTGCAGAAAGGCGAGGTGGACGGGGTGTGTGAGGGTAGGGTCGAGGTTGGTGAGTGGGAGGACGAAGGAGGAGGAATACGGCGTCTTGTGGTCGCCATTCGCCTGCTCGGCCTTGGTCTCCTTGGGAGCCTCAGCATCGGAATCATAGTCATCTTCGACGAGATCACGCTGGCGAAAGGGCAGAATGGCGAGGTTGTGGGTGCCGAACTTGAGGGCGGCGCATCTGCTGCTGGGGTCTGCCGTCAAGAAGTTGTACGTGTCTTTGAGATCAGCGGACCAAGGAGCAATGCCGGGCAAGTCTGGGTTCTCATAGTAGTGTATTGATATTGTATGGAGGTTGTACGTCTCCGGGTCCCACTCCACCAAACTGAGCTTTGCATCCCGAAACGCCACCAGCAGCGCCTCGCCCTTTGACTTTGTGTTGAGCGCTTTCACGCGCGCCAGCGATATGACGGTGCCGGCGAGGGGGAACTCGCCCACCAGCACCAGCTTGGCCGTGCTCTCGGTGCGCTGCAACGGCACGTCGGCCGCCTCTGTGTCGAGGTTGGCCGCGGCATTCTCCGACTCGTTTCCTCCGCCCGGGGTGACTTCGGTGGTGGTCGCCTTGAGCTCGAAGATCTGGAGCAGCGAGTTCTTTGCGACGACTAGGTTGTTTGACCTAGAGTGCACGAAGGGCAGGCTGATGGCATGGCTGACGGCGGTGGGCGGGGCTATCTCAGTGTAGCACTGCATGGTGGTGGTCGAAGGTCGCTGCCACACTTCTCATGGCAGTCGTGCGTGGGTGGGGCGGGATAGCTCAGCGCGAATTCGTGGTGTTGACCGAGGTCGCGTCAAAAGAGCTCATGCGCGATTCTGTCTAGCGTGTTGTGTTGGAGCTCCAGCCCGGGAAGGTGCGACCCATGCTAGCTGTTCTGGGCAGGATCGAAGCAGGGTTCTGGCCGCTAGACGTCATTCCAAACATCGCCGGCTTCTACCTGGAATCCCCTCTTCTCTCCTCCAGCGATAGCAACTGCTGTCAACTGGTATCAACATGGCGCTGATACAGACCTCTCTCATCTGGGTCGCCTACGCCGTCGCCGTGGGAATCCTCTTCCTCATCGCGTCCACATTCGTCTATGTCTACCAGAAGCCGCGCGATCGCGCCGCGGCCGTTACCATCGTCTGCATCTTCACCACTCTCGCCCTGCTCGCAACCGTCCTCCTCATTCCCGTCGACGTCGCTCTCGTCTCGTCTACCTCGCGATCCAGTCTAGGTCGCAAGAAGGATTGGGCGACACCGGAGAAGGTCGATAGCATTGTCTACACTCTGCGCATCGTCTACTACACGCTCTACTCGCTCGATGCGCTTCTCTGCCTGCTCGTCATTCCCTTTACCTACTTCTGGTACGAGGAATACGATGAGGACGCGGCAGAGCATGGCGAGCAGACCGCTGGCCAGCGCATTGCCGGTGCTCTCAAGTGGACTCTCGGCTTCCTCATCTTTGTAGTCGCAATCTTCCTCGTCGGCTTCTTCGTGCCCTTTGCGAAGCAGGCCAAGGATGACAAGCGTCTTGATCTCGACTACTTCAAGCACCTTCTCTCGGAGAACCGTAAGCAGCGACTTCCATTGTCTGATGACATTGGCTAACTCCATTAGATGGCGAACGCGCTCTATCCTTCGGCCTCGGCTTCCTCATCACCGTCGGAACCGTCCTCTTCGTGCTCTACACCGGTGCTGGCATGGCCCTCCTCCCCGTCGCCATGATCAAGTCCGCGCCATCCGTCTCAGCCCCCACGCTCGCCGCCAACACCGCATCCCAGCTGGAGAACAACCGTGAGCGCCAGCGACAGCTTGAAGGTCGCAACGAAGGCAGCGAGGGCGGACTGGACAGCAGGGACAGACGCGAACTGGAAGCCCTCGTCCGCGAAGAGCGCACCCTCATCCGCCGTGAGCGTCTCGCTGCCGAGTCAAGCGGCGAGGACCGCCATTGGATCGTCAAGGCCTGGATCAAGACCGAAGCCTTCTTCCGCCCGCTGAAACTCATCGGCGGCCTCATCCTGATGGTCTTCGCCCTCGTCATCTTCGCCAGCATGCTCATCACCGGTATCGACAAGGCCAAGAATTCCATCTGCGGCGCCCACTGCGGCTACATCCTCGGCCACATCAACATCTTCCAGCCGCTCAACTACATCCTCGTCAAGTCCGCCAAGGTCTTCCCCATCGACTATGTTATGTTCCTCCTCCTCGTTCTCTTCTTCTTCTCCGCCTCTGTTGTCGGCATCGCGACCGCTGGCATCCGCTTCCTGTGGATCACCATCTTCAAGATTCGCAAGGGGCACACTTCGCCCCAGGCACTCCTCATGGCCACTGTGTTGCTTACGCTCATCACCCTCGCAATCAACTACTCCGTCGCCATGGTCGTCGCACCCCAGTACGCTACCTGGGGCCCGCAAACTTACTGCGACATGAAGACCAACAGCCTAGACGAACAGCCCGACTGCACCGAGCACAAGGACCTCATCAAGGCTTGCAGTGAACTCGCTACCAACCCCGCTGCGCAGCAAGTCTGCACGCCCTCCGTCCTCAGCACCTTCATCAACCGCGTCACCATCAACTTCCCCTTCTTCGGCGTTGTCCTCTTCTGGGCCCAGTTCGCCTTCTTGGGTGTCTATCTGATCGTCTTCTTGACTACGCTGTTCAAGGCGCCGAGTCTGGACCAGGAGCAGATTGATCGTGATCTTGAGGAGGAAGAGGAGGAGGGTCTGTTGGCGAGCACTGGACGCAGGTTCGGTGCTGCGTGGAGTGATGTTACGGGTCGTGCCAGGAAGCCCGCGGGCTATGGTGCGACGGATCGAGACGAGAGGATTCAGTAGGTGGTGAGTGTGATGAAGTTTCAAAAGTGGGTGTAAATTGTTTTGCAAGGAATTGGGAATAATTTGATATGGGATATGCGTGGGATGGTATATATGTCTTGCTCTTTTCTTGTTTCGGTTCAAGTCTTTTGCATTTTCTTAGTTGTCTTGTCTCCTTAGTTCGTACAATACCTCATTTTGGCGTTTAGCAAGTCTGCAAATACATGTTCAATTTCGTATCAAAAGTATTGTCTCAATCCGCTTTGTGTGTATGGCAAAACACCTCGCTGAGATCAGCATGCCATCGACTCTTTTTAAGGCGTCCGTGCAGGTGGAACTGTGCCCGTCGGCATGTGTTGACTATGTTGGCCCTACCTTTAGCTGCATACCGTTAGTTGGTGGTGTCGCCCGTTTGCAGCCTGCTGTCGAATTCGAAAGGCGAGGTGACCGCGTCTTTGGATTAACCAGCTGAGTGAGGAGTCGCGGTCACTTCGAATACTTAGTGAGCAAGCCATGGCTGTCGAACGCGGATTTCGAGGTGACCGCGTCTATGCATCTGTCGGCGCACGTTGGAAGGCAAGGTGACCGCGCCTTTGGACGCCCGACCTTAGTAGAAAGTCCGACAGTATATTATACTTGCGATTTCTTCCATTCGTGAGAGTATCTTTTCGTCAAGGTTGTCGATGTTGCGGAAGTTATGAGTGGCTCGTTTCGCTCTGCGTCATCGCAGTACCATGGGATGAAGTGGATGGCAACCAAGGCGGTCACCACGAACAGCCAGTGAGCAAGACATGACTTTGTACATATATTTATCCGGGGTCCTGCCTCCTCTACTCTTCTACTCACCCTCTAGGATTCCCTCCTTCGGTTTCTAACACACTTCGCCTTCGTACCTACACGTCAACGTCAAGTCGCCATGGCCAAAGCCAATCGCAAGCGCGCCTCGAAGCGTCCGCGTACCTCCTCGCCGGTCAAGAAGGAATGCTCCAAGGGACTCCAGGACCCGGCTGTAGCTCTGCCTGGAGCTCCTCACCAGCAAGATCATCCAGTTCAGCACGTTCCGCAAGACGTTCCTCAAGACCTTCCTCCCAGTTCCTGTCCACGCGAACTAATGTGAGTTCTTCATCTTAATGACCGCACACGTAACTAACAGAGTGTTTAGCAGCATTGCCAATGCCGCTAACTCGCCACTGCTCCGTCTTCCCGCCGAGTTGAGGAACGAGATCTTCGCCTATGTCTATACTGACGCAGTCTATCACCTCGGGCCTACTGACTATTATGGTGAACCACGTGCCGACCTAAGGGGTTCTGAGGCGTACCTGAGGAGACGCGAAGTCCACCTTTCTCTTGTATGCCGCCAGGTGCATGCTGAAATAGCTCTACTACCGTATGAGCTTGGCGACTTCGGTTTCAGGGCAACGGATTGGTGTTCTCACCTAGCGGTAGTGGGGATGAGAAGCTTTTTGGAATGGCGATCGCCTAGGCAGCTTCATGCGCTTGGTAAAGTGACACTCTGGCGACCTGCAGCACATGGTCATCGCTTCTGGGTACAGACCAGGACTGCTACATACTGGCTCGCGAAGTTTGGAGAAGATATCTTCGCCTCTGACGTTGAGATGTACTCCGGAGTACCTATGCACTTCGACTTTGCCGGTTTCGGTCCATCTGATTCCAAGAGGACGTGATGCGGAGTGGGTAATCGCCTTCTTCATGGGATTATACCTAGCAATATTGACAGCTACGAATTATCATTTGCTGCGATAACTCAAATACTATTTATCTCCTTACTTCTCGTAACATCTGCATGAGGATCTGAAGCTGAGGTGACGCCGCAAGAGTACGACTTGTTCATCTTTCTACTCAGCATGAGCGCATAGTCTTGCCTTGACTGCAGTTGTCAGCTTGGTCCTGCTTTGGCATTTCAGGTATGTCGGTACTGTCCCTGAATTATTGCGCTGATCTGCTTTTGTAGCAGTGGTGTGTGTGTATCTAGTGACGTCACCTGCTTGCAAGCGGCTGTCGAATATGGAAGCTGCGGCTCTGATAACGGCCGGCTCACATTGGCAGTCACTCTCATCTTGATTGGTCAGCCCAGGTTGGGTGATCTTCTCGGCCCTTGCTTCTGTTGTACTCTTCACTCTTACCCCATTTCCATCGAAACGCCAATCGCAATTCGACATGCCCAAGCGCAAGCGCCCATCGAACTCTCCCGCTACCACGCAGTCCGCGAAAAAAGCACGAGACGACAGGGCATCGCGTCGCGCAGCTGCTCACGATATTCGAGACCAAGCTCGTCGGGATCAAATGTAAGGTTTCGCTCCTCTTCGCAGAGGGTGCGCCTGACAATGGCTAGTACTACGCTCAATGCTGTCAACTCACCTCTTCTGCGCCTCCCGGCGGAAATCAGGAACATGATCTTCGCCCACGTCTATACTGACAAATGGCTTTTCTTGCACAAAAGAGGGCATCTGACACTCCCAAGATATAAAGGATACAATGAAGGGCTAGTCAGTCTTTCTCTCGTCTGCCGCCAGACGGAGGCTGAAGCGTGTCTCTTACCCTATGAGCTCGGTATGTTCGACTTTTGGGCCCATCTGGCATGTGGACTGGAAGAGCTCTGGTCGCTGAAGAAGTTTCTGAGAAAACGGTCAGCGGTGCCTGGGCAAATCGACGCTATGGCTGTTTTGAAGTTCACCCAATGGTCGGTCTCGATGAATGACCATTGGCATCAGACAAGGACGGGTGCACACTGGGAGGCCAAGTTGAAGGATCTTGCTGTTTCTGTTGCCAAGATGGGTTCATATGATCGCATGCTGTTTGATGTCTCCTCGCTTGGGCCATCTGACTAGAAAGGCCAGGCATTCGTGGACTTGGTAGTTCCTCTCTTCACAAGAGTGTTC